CAGGGTAGGTGGAGGTGTGGGTACCCCGCTGGCCTCCCATCGGTGCAGGGTGTTGATGACGTCCTGTAGAGCGGTCCCCAGTTGTCGTATCTGGTCATCTTGGCCGCGAACATGCTCCTCGAGTGACTCAGGCGTAACTGCCGATCCTGCTGATTCCATTTTGGTATGTGATTCTGTCAAGGGGTGCTGAAGGTGGGTGTGGTGCATGAATCAAGCGCAGGACGCAGAAGCTCAGTCCAAAAGACTTTAGTGCAATATTCACGTAGAAAATAAGCACAATAAGCCCGAAGGCGAAATAACGGCGCACACAGGCGTCAAACAAACGGCGCACTAACATGTGCGAAAAACCTCTCCAAAACCACTGGAGGGAAGTACGTAGCTCCAACACGAAACAGAAGAGCAATCACACACAAAGACAAACACACACAACGAGAACTAAATAGGACACTAACGAGGACTAACAAGACACAGGTGTACAACATCAAGACAAAACCAAACGAACATGAAACATAGATCGGTGGCAGCTAGTACTCCGGGGACGACGACCGCCGAAGCCTGCCCGAACCAGGAGGAGGAGCAGCCTCAGCCGAAACCGTGACACTTTAAGTATTTGTTACTTTTATATATATATTTTTTTTATTTAATGTTTTTTGGGGGGTATTTTTTGGGGGGGGAATTCTTTCTTAAAATTGCATTGTTGGTTAAGGGCTCGTAAGTAAGCATTTCACTGTTGTATTCGGCGCATGTGACAAATAACATTTCATTTCATTTGATTTAAATTGCATTCTATGCTCGCTTCGAGGCAAGCAACACTGAACCATGCATGAGAGCACCAGCTGTTCTGGACGACTGTGTGATCACGCTATACATAGCCGATGTGATTAAGACGGGTAAACAGGTTAACATTCACAAGGCCACAGGGCCAGGTGTATTACCAGGATGCGTACTCAGAGCATGTGCTGACCAGCTGGCAAGTGTCTTCACAGTCCCTGTGCCCAAGAACGCCAAGGTAACCTGTCTAAATGACTATCGCCCCATACCACTCACACATGTAGCCATGAAATGCTTTGAAAGGCTGGTCGTGGCTCACATCAACACCACCTTCCTGACAGCCTGGACCCACTCCAATTCGCATACCACCCCAACAGATCCACATATGACGCAATCTCTATTGCACTCCAAACTGCCCTCTCCCACCTGGACAAGAGGAACACCTATGTGAGAATTCTGTTCATTGACTACAGCTCAGCTTTCAGCACCATAGTGCCCTCCAATCTCATCACTAAGCTAAGGACCCTGGGACTGAACACCTCCCTCTACAACTGGATCCTGGACTTCCTGACGGGCCATCCCCAGGTGGTGAGGGTAGGCAACAACACATCAGCCACGCAGACCCTCAACACGGGGGCCCCTCAGGGGTGCGTGCTTAGTTCCCTCCTGTACTCCCTGTTCACCCACGACTGCGCGGCCTCACACAGTTCCAACTCAATCATCAAGTTCGCTGACGACACTACAGTAGTAGGGTTGATTACCAACAACAGTAAGACGGCCTACAGGGAGAAGGTAAGCATTCTGACAACCTGGTGCCAGGTAAACAACCTCTCCCTCAACATCAGCAAAACAAAGAAGCTGATTTTGGACTTCAGGAGGAACCAGGCATAACTGTCAAAACCTGAAATGCTCAAACCAAACGGACACCGTGGTGAAGAAGGCATGCCAGCGACTCTTTAACGTTAGGATGCTGAAGCAATCCGTCCTGTCCCCGAGGGCCCTCACAGTGTTCTACAGGAGCATCATCAAGATCATACGTTTGGGCTGCATCACAGCCTGGTACGGCAACTCCACCATCGCAGACCGCAAGGCGCTAAAGAGGGTGGTACGCTCAGCCGAAAACATGATTGGGTGCACACCGCTTGCCCTCAAGGACACTTACAGCACCAGGTGTTGCAGGAAGGCCAAGAAGATCATCAGGGACCCCAGCCCCTGAGCCATGGCAAAGGAAAAGGAAAACCAGCCACGTTGCCGACACTGACGTCTTGCTTCCAGACAAGCTAAACACCTTCTTCGCCCGCTTTGAGGATAACACAGTGCCACCGACGCGGCCCACTACCAAGGACTGTGGGCTCTCCTTCTCCATGACCGACGTGAGTAAGACATTTAAGCGTGTTAACCCTTGCAAGGCTGCCGGCCCAGACGGCATCCCTAGCCGCATCCTCAGAGCATGCGCAGACCAGTTGGCTGGTGTGTTTACGGACATATTTAATCTCTCCCTATTCCAGTCTGCTGTCCCCACATACTTCAAGATGGCCACCATTGTTCCTGTACCCAAGAACGCAAAGGTAACTGAACTAAATGACTATCGTCCTGTAGCACTCACCTCTGTCATCATGAAGTGCTTTGAGAGACTTGTCAAGGATCATATCACCTCTACCTTACCTGATACCCTAGACCCACTTCAATTTGCTTACTGCCCCAATACATCCACAGACGATGCAATCGACATCACACTGCACAGTGCCATATCCCATCTGGACAAGAGGAATACCTATGTAAGAATGCTGTTCATTGACTATAGCTTAGCATTCAACACCATAGTACCCTCCAAGCTCATCATTAAGCTTGAGGCCCTGGGTCTGAACCCCGCCCTGTGCAACTAGGTCCTGGACTTCCTGACAGGCCGCCCCCAGGTGGTGAAGGTAGAAAACAACACCTCCACTTCGCTGATCCTCAACACTGGGGCCCCACAAGGGTGCATGCTCAGCCCACTCCTGTACTCCCTGTTCACCCATGACTGCGTGGCCAAGCACGCCTCCAACTCAATCATCAAGTTTGCAGACGACACAACAGTAGTATACTTGATTACCAACAATGACGAGATAGCCTAGATCTCTAGTGGCACAGCTAGCACTGCGATGCAGTGCCTTAGACCACTGCGCCACTCGGGAGGTCACATCACTGACAAACTGAAATAGTGTGGTGAAGAAGGCGCAACAGAGCCTCTTCAACCTCAGGAGGCTGAAGAAATTTGGCTTGGCACCTAAAACCCTCACAAACTTTTACAGATGCACAATTGAGAGCATCCTGTAGGGCTGCATCACTGCCTGGTACGGCAACTGCACCACCCTAAACCGCAGGGCACTCCAGAGGATGGTGCGGTCTGCCCAACGCATTACCGGGGGCAAACTACTCGCCCTCCAGGACACATACAGCACCCGATGTCACAGGAAGGCCAAAAAGATAATCAAGGACCTCAACCACCTGAGCCACTGCCTGTTCATCCCGCTATCATCCAGAAGGCGAGGTCAGTACAGGTGCATCAAAGCTGGGACCGAGAGACTGAAAAACAGCTTCTATCTCAAGGTCATCAGACTGTTAAATAGCCATCACTAGCACATTAGAGGCTGCTGCTTATAGACATTGACTAGAAATCACTGGCCACTTTAAGAAATGGAACACTAGTCACTTTAAGAATGTTTTTGTATCTTGCATTACTCATCTCATATGTATATACTGTATTCTATACTATTCTACTGTATCTTAGTCCATGCCGCTCTGTAATTGCTCGTCCATATACAGTGGGGAGAACAAGTATTTGATACACTGCCAACTTTGCAGGTTTTCCTACTTACAAAGCATGTAGAGGTCTGTAATTTTTATCATAGGTACACTTCAACTGTGAGAGACGGAATCTAAAACAAAAATCCAGAAAATCACATTGTCTAATATCCATTGCTCGTGTTTCTTGGCCCAAGCAAGTCTCTTCTTATTATTGCTGTCCTTTATTAGTGGTTTCTTTGCAGCAATTTGACCATGAAGGCCTTATTCACACAGTCTCCCCTGAACAGTTGATGTTGAGATGTGTCTGTAACTTGAACTCTGTGAAGCATTTATTTGGGCTGCAATTTCTGATGAACTTCTCCTCTGCAGCAGAGGTAACTCTGGGTCTTCCATTCCTGTGGCGGTCCTCATGAGAGCCAGTTTCATCATAGCGCTTGATGGTTTTTGTGAATGCACTTGAAGAAACTTTCAAAGTTCTTGAATTGTTCCATATTGACTGACCTTCATGTCTTACAGTAATGATGGACTGTCGTTTCTCTTTGCGTATTTTAGCTGTTCTTGCCATAATATGGACTTGGTCTTTTACCAAATAGGGCTATCTTCTGTATAACCCCCCTACCTTGTCACAACAAAACTGATTGGCTCAAACACATTAAGAAGGAAATATATTCCACAAATTAACTTTTAAGAAGGCACACCTGTTAATTGAAATGCATTCCAGGTGACTACCTCATGAAACTGGTTGAGAGAATGCCAAGAGTGTGCAAAGCTGTCATCAAGGCAAAGGGTGGCTACTTTGAAGAGTCTCAAATATAAAATATATTTTGTTTTGTTTAACACTTTTTTTGGTTACTACATGATTCCATATGTGTTATTTCATAGCTTTTATGTCTTCACTATTATTCTACAATGTAAAAAATTGTAAAAATAAAGAAAACCCTTGAATGAGTAGGTGTGTCCAAACTTTTGACTGATAGTGTAGATATTTTTAATTCCATTCCTTACTTAGATTTGTGTGTATTGGATATATGTTGTGTAATTGTTAGGTATTACTTGTTTGATATTACTACACTGTTGGAGCTAGAAGCACAAGCATTTCACTACACCCGCAATAAAATCTTCCAAACACGTGTATGTGACCAATATTTTGTTTTCATTTGATTTGATGGCTTGTTCTCCCCATTTCTATCACTCAGATGCGGGCAGTATAGGAGAATCATTGCAAAAACTGTAAGACTGGCCAAATGCTTCTACCCCCAGACCACCACTAGTCAGCAACCTGGTCCAAAATAGTGCTCCCTGTCAGAAATGCTATTGTGTACAGAAGACTTCACTTCCACCTCAAAACTAGGGCTTCAGCTTTACTTATGTTTGAATAATTTACAGTTGTAGCTTTTGCCCCTAAATGTTTTTTCATGTCTCTGTTTCTCACATGTTCCTAGGTAGCAGGGATAAAAGGGCTGTTCTTGTCAAATAAAGTTGTTGAGGACCAAGTGAAAACGTTTATCACTTACAATAAGGGGCGAGACTGGAATCTTCTACAGGCTCCTACCACTGATCTGAAGGGAACCAGACTCTACTGTGTACAGGTGAGTCTGCTTTTGAAAGTGAGCAACATCTGAAAACCTATAAGAGTTTTTTTCTATAAACCACCTTATGTTTTTTTCTTTTGTTGATTTTCAGCCCTACTGTTCATTACACCTGCATCTTCATGTGTCTGACAACCCGTACACATCTGGAAACATAGTCAGCAAAGAATCAGCTCCAGGAATTATAGTAGCATCAGGTAGGCACTATTTGAAATGTTTAGCTGTGTCTTTTGTTTATTTTTACCCTCATTAGCAATTACCACAGGGACCTCCGCTCTCCCTGAGGTTCCCAATTTGCAGTTGTTTCTCAACTCTTACACTGCTCTTTTTCCACCCTTCAAGACCCCTGTTATCTTTTAGCTCTGTTCTCCGAGTAAATGCTGGGATTCTGCCTTAAAACCTTTTAGTCAGCTCAGTTTGATCTGTGAAATTGATCACAGCATGCCTGCATATCTGTAGACTGGCAGATGGTTGGCAAAAATAGATACAGAAGAAAAGGTTTGAATGACTGAATGTCTGAATGTCTGTTTTTGGCTGAGTAAATACTCATTTTTAGGAGATCTGTAGCCTGTGGCAGTATGTATGCATCTGTATTTTTATTTCATTGTGTATTAAAGATATTGTAATGTGGGTTAAGAAGACATACAATGAAAGTGTTTACACTGTAACTATACTATGCTTTTTACATTTAGGTACCATTGGGCCTGAGCTTACCACCTATAATGTCAGCATTTTCATCACCTCAGATGCTGGCAACACTTGGAGAGAGGTACTGTGACTGAAAGAGAGAGGTGCAACTGAAATGTGACACAAAATCAAGACAACACATTTATATTTTCTTATATCAGCTTATAACTCAAGAATTTGGAGGAGGGAGGAAACTCTGGATGAATAATGCATGATATTGTTTGACATTACCCTTGATCACATGCCATATATACTGGTTTTATGAAGTTATTATTATTTTCCCATAGAACTTCTTAGGAGCTGATACTATTTTATTATTTGATGAGCCGTTTTCTCACTTTTTAATAAAATATAATAAACTCAGCAAAAAAAGAAACGTCCCTTTTTCAGGACCCTGTCTTTCAAAGATCATTCGTAAAAATCCAAATAACTTCACAGATCTTCATTGTAAAGGGTTTAAACACTGTTTTCCATGCTTGTTCAATGAACAATAAATAATTAATGAACATGCACCTGTGGAACGGTCGTTAAGACACTAACAGTTTACAGACGGTAGGCAATTAAGGTCACAGTTATGAAAACTTAGGACACTAAAGAGGCCTTTCTACTGACTCTGAAAAACACCAAAAGAAAGATGCCCAGGGTCCCTGCTCATCTGAGTGAACGTGCCTTAGGCATGCTGCAAGGAGGCATGAGGACTGCATATGTGGTCAGGGCAATAAATTGCAATGTCCGTACTGTGAGACGCCTAAGACAACGCTACAGGGAGACAGGATGGACAGCTGATCGTCCTCGCAGTGGCAGACCACGTGTAACAACACCTGCACAGGATCGGTACATCCGAACATCACACCTGCGGGAGAGGTACAGGATGGCAACAACAACTGCCTGAGTTACACCAGGAACGCACAATCCCTCCATCAGTGCTCAGACTGTCCGCAATAGGCTGAGAGAGGCTGGACTGAGGGCTTGTAGGCCTGTTGTAAGGCAGGTCCTCACCAGACATCATCGGCAACAATGTCGCCTATGGGCTCAAACCCACCGTCACTGGACCAGACAGGACTGGCAAAAAGTTCTCTTCACTGACGAGTCACGGTTTTGTCTCACCAGGGGTGATGGTTGGATTCGCGTTTATCGTCTAAGGAATGAGCGTTACACTGAGGCCTGTACTCTGGAGCAGGATCGATTTGGAGGTGGAGGGTCCGTCATGGTCTGGGGCAGTGTGTCACAGCATCATCGGACTGAACTTGTTGTCATTGCAGGAAATCTCAACGCTCTGCGTTACAGGAAGACATCCTCCTCCCTCATGTAGTACCCTTCCTGCAGGCTCATCCTGATAAGACCCTCCAGCATGACAATGCCACCAGCCATACTGCTCGTTCAGTGCGTGATTTCCTGCAAGACAGGAATGTCAGTGTTCTGCCATGGCCAGCAAAGAGCCCGGATCTCAATCCCATTGAGCACATCTGGGACCTGTTGGATCGGAGGGCTAGGGCTAGGGCCATTCCCCCCAGAAATGTCCGGGAACTTGCAGGTGCCTTGGTGGAAGAGTGGGGTAACATCTCACAGCAAGAACTGGCAAATCTGGTGCAGTCCATGAGGAGGAGATGCACTGCAGTACTTAATGCAGCTGGTGGTCACACCAGATACTGACTGTTACTTTTGATTTTGACCCCCCCCCCCCCCCCCCCCCCTTTGTTCAGGGACACAATATTCAATTTCTGTTAGTCACGTCTGTGGAACTTGTTCAGTTTATGTCTCAGTTGTTGAATCTTGTTATGTTCATACAGATATTTACACATGTTAAGTTTGCTGAAAATAAACGCAGTTGACAATGAGAGGACGTTTCTTTTTTTGCTGAGTTTATGTGGCTGTGTTACATGATACAGAAGAATAGTAATAGCCTATAGTTATAAAAGTCTATCACTCATCAAAAGTATACGTGAACGTAATGCACATCTCTGATCTCTGAAAATGTGATGAAATCCTGTCCTGTTTGTAGGTATTTGAGGAGGAGTATAGTGTCCTCTTTCTTAACCAGGGTGGTGCCCTAGTGGCCATTCGACACACACCTCTCCCCATCAGACATATCTGGTATTGTTTCCTTTAACATTCAACTTCCGTGCATACTGTTACAGTATCAACATTGATTTACATTTGTCTATTTAAATGTTTCATGGACTGTATTATGTAAGCACTGAAAGTCCATCTAATGTTTTAGTGTTACAGTACAATCTATTCTATGCATGGTGAGGGGTCTACATGAGCCACGCATGAGAGCCAACATGTTGTTTCTCCATCCAGGCTCAGTTTTGATGAGGGAAAACGCTGGAACAAATACAGCTTCACCCCCTCTCCTCTCTATGTAGACGGAGTCTTAGGAGAGCCAGGGGAAGACACCCTCATCATGACGTAAGAATCAAATACTCTATGGGTAATAGTATGTATTATGCAATGCGTTGAAAGCTTACTGGACGTTTTGAAAAAAAATAGTTCGTTTCGAACACAGATAAAAAAATGTATTCGCTGTCAGAAGTTAGACACTTTTTTTTATTTTCTCTTTTTACTCTTCTGAGTCATTGCACAAATCCCTTGTGGGCAAGTGTCGCAGCCTTTCATCTCCCACTTCTATGCTAGCAAGGTATTTTCCTCGATACATTTTAGCTAGTAACGCTTTTTTCAGCCATTTTTCACCATGCTTGACTTTTTGTGTTTGCAGAATATTTGGCCATTTCAGCCATCGTTCTGAGTGGCAGCTTGTCAAAATTGACTTCAGGTCCATCTTTAACAGAAGGTGCAACACAGACGACTATCAGACCTGGCAGTTACACAATGACGTAAGAGCAACCACTTTGATGCATTTGCAATGGCTTTGTACACTTTAGTTTGATGGAATATATCTACAGTATGAAGAGAAACGTCCTATCTCACCCATTTTTCTATCTCAAATGTATCTCAACATTATGGCTCCTTTCTATGTATTTACTTTCAGATAACAAATAATCAATTATACACATGTTCATGTACTATAAACAAATATATATATTAAGACAACTGTCACGCCCTGGCTCTGGGGACTCTTAAATGTTGAGCCAGGGTTTGGACTTGTTATGTTTAGTTTTCATTGGGTCTGTTCTAGATCGTTCATATCTATGTTGGCCAGGGTGGTTCCCAATCAGAGACAGCTGTAGCTCGTTGTCTCTGATTGGGGACCATACTTAGGCAGCCTTTTGGCACTTTAGTATGGTGGGATCTTGTTCTGTATAGGTTTGTGTTGGTGAACCTTTAGACTTCACGTATCATTTTGTTGTTTTGTTATTGTGTAAAGTAATCATTAAAAGATGTACGCCTATCACGCTGCACCTTGGTCTGCCTCTTACAACGATCGTGACAACAACTCCATCACTCAGTGTCTTTTCTTTGAAACTGTTACATCCAAAAAGACAGTAAATTCTCAAATGTTGTAGTTAATTATTTCAAATAATGCATTATTTCTCACAGGGTAAAGTCTGCATTATGGGAGTGAAGAGAATCTTCCAGAATCTGAAGCCCGACACCAGATGTGTCAAAACCAGAGATCAGTACATCTCCCAGATGTCAGACTCCTGTCCATGCACTGAGGCTGACTTTGAGTGGTGAGGAGACTACTGGCTGCTACTGGTGATAATAAATAACATTCAATTCAATTCCATACAGTCTTTATTAATCCTTTCAGCTGCAATTTAAGAAGGCATCATTGGAGCACAATAACACAATTACATGATGTTTATAACTGTATGCAGAGAATTAATGACAATAACTGTAGTCCCCTGTAGATCAATTGGTAGAGCATGGCACTTGCAATGCCAGGGTTGTGGGTTCGTTTCCCACAGGGGACCAGTATGAAAATGTATGCACTCACCAACTGTAAGTCGCTCTGGATAAGAGCGTCTGCTAAATGACAAAAAATTAAATAAAATAAAAACTGCCTTAGACACAGTTAAAAGCAGTAAAAATATAAGATTGGGGATAGGATCAAGAGGGCAGGTAGACATCTCTATCTCCATTGTGAAGTAGAAGTTTCACAACTTTCAGCATACATTTCTGTAATCGGTTGGGTCTGTCCAGGTACATCTTTAGCCACGTTTATACCTGGTTCAAACATGCGTCCTTTGTTCTGATTTTGTCCACATTTTGATTGTGCCCAAATTTCTAGACAGGTGTGGATGATTAAAAGATGCATTGTGATCTGATTGTGATCAGATCTTACAAGTGTAAACAGACAAGATCAGGACTAGATCAGACCAAAGGACACATGTTAGGGGCAGGTATAAACAGGGCGTAAGTTGTAGGGATACTCCCCATGAGAATGCTCTTTTGGTCTTGCTGGATAGAATCGTGAAGGATCGTTAGGTGCTGCTCGGTGCATGTCTGGGTTGTTTGAGGGTGCAAGCATCAGGTTTGTGGGATCGTCCACATTTCCAACACCATTGTTCATCCTTTATCCACTCAATGATCTGTCTTGTGTTCAACTTCTTAAACTCTGGACATGAGTTAAGATAGTGTTATTTGTTGTCACAGTGATGGAAGTATGGCCGGGGTTTGGAAGGGGCCTTAGATTGAGCAGGCTCCTGGGAGCTTAGATATTCACTGGTGTTGAGGATTGAAGTGGACCTCTCCTTTGGCCTAGTGGAGGCACATTTGTCATTCTTAAGTGGCTTGAGCATTGCATTGCTAGAGGGCTGCATCTCTGCTTGATATATGCTTAGCCTTGGACTTCTTCTGCGGCCAGGCTGTCAAGTCAGGTAAGGTCAAAACAGTACTCCACGAATTCATCGCGGTAGTCCTGTGGCATCTTGCTCAAGAGCCAGTCGGCATTGGGATCTACATCTGAGCCCATAGCCGTTCTGCCCCTCAAGGGTTCTAAGCATGTTTACCAGTGTGTAGATAGACAGTGTGAATGCATCGAAGGCTTCTGTATCTCCAAACTCGACAGTGGGTTCAGAATGGTGCCTAACTCACATTGGATGAGTTGGTGGGGCTGACCATACTTAACCTGCAGGGCTTGTAAGAAAGCAGTGTAAGGCCTTGAGTCATGGTTGAAGGCCTTAGCAAGCCAGTAGCACTTGATACTTATACTGCTCATTCAGGTGTCGGTGATTGTTCATCAGGTCATCCAAGGCCTGCTTTGGGATGCTGTACAATTAGCTGTGCCATACCAGTTGGCGGAGCAGGAGCAGGGTATGTTGCTGCTAGAATTAGATAAGGCACGTCTAGGCCTGGAGGGAAGCAGGGTGCTACTGAAACGGGGTATGGTGGAAATCCTGGAGCAGGATGTGGCACTGCTGGTGGTGGAGCAGGGAGTGGAACCACAAGTGCTGGACCAGGGTGTAGAACCACAGGTGGTCCAGGGTACATTGGATAGGCAGGGAGAAGTGGAGGTGAGTCACCATAAGCTTAACTTTCCTCTAAAGCCCGAGCAAGGTATTTCACTGCATTGTCAATAAGGAGCGCTGGGGGATGTATCTCTCTGATAATATGGGACCGCACAGATGGGTCAGGTGTGTCCATATCTGCTGCTTCCATATCTTTGCATGATTACTCAAACCGGCTCTGAAGGACCATGAAGTAGAGGACGGTACCTCTGGAAATTGTGACTGGTGTGAGTCGGTGTAGATATGGAGATTGTGTTCCGGTTAGAAAAAACAGGAGTTAACAGTTCCTCAGTTAAAGCTCTTTAACCTTGATTGCAGGTTAACATAAATGTGACTGGTTACAGGATCGGGGGCGTTTGACGCTAGTTCCTACTTCACAGTAGGGCCATTTGAAAATGTATATATATATATTTCTTTAGAAATGCTTTCTTGAATGTGAACTTTCATGTGCCTTAAAGAGTGACTGCTCCTAAAAAGCAACTAATCCCTTTGAAAATGGCCTATGTGGCATCAATATGAGTCAGAAACATTTATTATAGTGTCAGAATTTACTACAAAGTCTAAATAGGATCATTTTGGTCATAAACTCAGTCTCTTCTAAAACGGAGTTTGGAACCTCAGTGTGTCACAACGAGTAAAGGAAGGTTGGGTTTGGATTACAATTATGTCAACAAATCATGCCCCCTTTTGCCAAGCTCCACATGCAAATCGCCCCTCCTCCCACTTCGCTTCCCTTCATTGAGGGGGTTTGATTAATCGGCCCGGGCGCCCGGGTAGTCATGTTTTGCTTGCATTCATTTTGGAACCGGGCTGCCTCCCAGGCGTGAACCAGGTACCCCGTTCAAAGCCCATGACGAAGTCGGCTCAAATCAAACGTGACGTAGTTAGCACATGTTGTAATGAGTAGGATTATGTGTTTTCACATAAAACAGTTTATCTGCCTTCCAAATGAAAACTAGTTAGAAAATTCTAACATATACTCTGAAGAAAAATATAAACGCAACATGCAAAAATGTCAAAGATTTTACTGAGTCACAGTTCATTTAAGGAAATCAGTTAATTTAAATAAATTAATTAGGCCCTAATCTATGGATTTCACATGACTGGGAATACAGATATGCATCTGTTGGTCATAGATACCTTTTTAAAAAGTAGGGGCGTGGATCAGTAAACCAGTCAGTATCTGGTGTGACCACCATTTGCCTCATGCAGCGTGACACATCTCCTTCGCATAGAGTTGATCAGGCTGTTGATTGTGGCCTGTGGAATGTTGTCCCACTCCTCTTCAATGGCTGTGCAAAGCTGCTGGATATTGACGGGAACTGGAACACTCTGTCGTACAAGTTGATCCAGAGCATCCCAAACATGCTCAATGTGTGATATGTTTGGTGAGTATGCAGGCCATGGAAGAACTGGGAAATGTTTAGCTTCCAGGAACTGTGTACAGATCCTTGCGACATAGGACCATGCTGAAACATGAGGTGATGGCGGCGGATCAATGGCACGACAATGGGCCTCAGGATCTCGTCACGGTATCTCTGTGCATTGAAATTGCCATAGATAAAATGCAATTGTATTCGTTGTCTGTAGCTTATGCCAGCCCATACCATAACCCCATCACCACCATGGGGCAGTCTGTTCACAACGTTGACATCAGCAAACCGCTCGCCCACATGACGCCATACACCGCTGTTTGCCATCTGCCCGGTACAGTTGAAACCGGGATTAATCCGTGAAGAGCACACTTCTCCAGAGTGCCAGTGGCCATCGAAGGTGAGCATTTGCCCAATGAACTCGGTTACGACACCGAACTGCAGTCAGGTCAAGACCCTGGTCAGGACGACAAGCATGCAGATGAGCTTCCCTGGGGTGGTTTCTGACAGTTTGTGCAGAACTTCTTCGGTTGTGCAAACCCACAGTTTCATCAGCTGTCTGGGTGTCTGGTTTCAGACGTTCCCACAGGTGAAGAATCCAGATGTGGAGGTCCTGGGCTGGCGTGGTTACACGTGGTCTGCGGATGTGAGGCCGGTTGGACGTACTGCCAAATTCTCTAAAACGATGTTGGTGGCGGCTTATGGTAGAGAAATTAACATAAAATTGTCTGGCAACAGAGCTGGTTGACAATCCTGCAATCAGCATGCATTTTTCCCGTTTACGTCACAGGCCATAGATCGGTGCACGACGGGTCAGCATAATCAAATCCGCCCATTGAATGGGGCTCCGGTGTGCAACAGTCAGTGGTGGTGAGTATAGCCAGAAAGAGATACTGGAATATAATGACCTCTGTGGCATAACTTAGCTAACGATGTTAAATAACGTTATTACTTGTTATGTAGGTAGCTATCCTTTGAAAAAGTGAGGCAGGCTAGCTAACGTTAGCTAGCGAGGCAGGCTAGATAATGTTAGCTAGTGATGCAGGCTAGCTAACATTTTAGCTAACATTAGCATAGCTTACTAGCTAGCTATATACAACTAGCTTGCTAGCTACCTCATTTCAACTTAGTTAGGTCGTAGCTCATACAAGTTTATTGTGTATTGTCTAGATACTGCTGGTTATTTAATGTTATCATTTGAAAGTGCTAGCAAGGCAGGCTAGCTAGCTACAGGCTACAAGACGGATTTGCAAGTTAGTTCGTAGCTCATACAAGTTTATCCTGTGTTGTCTAGGGCAAAACTAAATAATGGATGCAGCTATGGTGGTAGCTAACTCATGTCTGAGTCTGACTAATGTAGTGAACTAGGAGCAACAAACCGTAACGGCGTTACCAGCCTGAATCTAATCCAATCTGGAGCTACAGTCAGTCTACATCTGAAAAGCATAGAATTAGGGTTGCCACTAGTTACCACCGCCACAAAGTAATATCGTAAAAATTCAATGAAACAAAAATGTAAGGTTAGGGTTAGCCATAAGGTTAGCAGCGTGGTTAAGGTTAGGGTTAAGGTTAGGTTTAAAATCACATTTTAAGAAGATACATTGTAGAAATAGGCAGACTTTATGCCTTTGTGGCTGTGGTAACTAGTGACGACCTAGAATTAGGTTGATCCTAGTTACTGCCCTGATGACACAGATGGCTTCATCAACAACGGTAATGTGGCCCTGCATTAAATACCAAAATTGGTTCAAGAACATTTTGATTAATAAAAAATATATACCAGTCTAATTTAAGGACCAAAAAATGGACAGCTGTGCCATGTAGATTGCAAAATATTTGAGAAGTGATTTTTTATGTACCGATTCCCAGCTCTGCAGATTTTGCTGCGAAGAGACAGAGTCATTAGATCATTTATTTTGGTACTGTCCATATGTAGCTTGTTTTTAGTCACAGGTCCAGGAATGGCTGAAGAATTGCAACATTTACCTGGAGCTAACGCTGCAGATAGCAATACTGGGTGATTTGAAAACTCATAGTCAATCGATCAATAATATAAAAATACTTTTAGAAAAAATGTTTATATTTAATTTACAATCTGTAGAAACTATGAGAATAGAAAGGTAAAGAACTTTGGTGAAGCATCACAGCACAGTTGAAAAATATATGGCAAATAGAAATCCAATATGGATGGTGTTAAGAGATAGATGGGACAGGTTGAATGGCGCTGAAGGGTGGGACTAGATAGAGAACAGATCAAAAACATATTTTATATTTGAGATTCTTCAAAGTAGCCACCCTTTGCCTTGATGACAGCTTTGAACACTCTTGAAATTCTCTCAACCAGCTTCACCTGGAATGCTTTTCCAACAGTCTTGAAGGAGTTCCCACATATGCTGAACACTTGTTGGCTGCTTTTCCTTCACTCTGCCATCCAACTCATCTCAAATCATCGCAATTGGGTTGAGGTCAGGTGATTGTGGAGGTCAGGGTATCTGATGCAGCACTCCATTACTCTCCTTCTTGGTAAAATAGCCCTTACACAGCCTGGAGGTGTGTTTTGGGTCATTGTCCTGTTGAAAAACAAATAATAGACACATTAAGCGCAAACCAGATGGGATGGCTTGTCGCTGCAGAATGTTGTGGTAGCCATGCTGGTTAAGTGTGCCTTGAATTCTAAATAAATCACAGACAGTGTCACCAGCAAAGCACCCCCACACCATCACACCTCCTCCTCCATGCTTCACGGTGGGAAATACGCATGCGGAGATCATCCGTTCACCTACTCTGCATCTCACAAGGACACGGCGGTTGGAACCAGAAATTTCAAATTTGGACTCAACAGACCAAAGGACAGATTTCCAACAATGTCACTCAACAACCGTAGGATGACATCAAGACCCAAAAAAAGAATGGCAAACGGCAGCTGGGGAGAAGTGCATGGCGAGGACGGTTCGAAACAGGCTCCTAGGGGCAGGGCTGAAGTCATGCAAAGCTAGAAAAAATCCCTTCATCAATGAGAAGCAAAGAAGAGCCAGGCTGAGGTTTGCAAAAGACCATAAGGATTGGACCGTAGAGGACTGGAGTAAGGTCATCTTCTCTGATGAGTCCAATTTTCAGCTTTTCCCAACACCTGGTCGTCTAATGGTTAGACGGAGACCTGGAGAGGCCTACAAGCCACAGTGTCTCGCACCCACTGTGAAATTTGGTGGAGGATCGGTGATGATCTGGGGGTGCTTAAGCAAGGCTAGAATCGGGCAGATTTGTCTTTGTGAAGGACGCATGAATCAAGCCACGTACAAGGTTGTCCTGTAAAAAAACGTGCTTCCTTTTGCTCTGACATTGTTCCCCAACTCTGAGGATTGTTTTTTCCAGCAGGACAATGCGCCATGCCACACAGCCAGGTCAATCAAGGTGTGGATGGAGCACCACCAGATCAAGACCCTGTCATGGCCATCCCAATCTCTAGACCTGAACCCCATTGAAATCTTCTGGAATGTGATCGAGAGGAAGATGGATGGTCACAAGCCATCAAACAAAGCCGAGCTGCTTGAATTTTTGTGCCAGGAGTGGCATAAAGTCACCCAACATCAATGTGAAAGACTGGTGGAGAGCGTGCCAAGACGCATGAAAGCTGTGATTGAAAATCAGGGTTATTCCAACAAATATTGATTTCGGAACTCTTCCTAAGTTAAAACATTAGAATTGTGTTGTTTAAAAAATGAACATGAACTTATTTTCTTTGCATTATTCGAGGTCTGACAACACTGCATCTTTTTTGTTATTTTGACCAATTGTCATTTTCTGCAAATAAATGCTCTAAATGACAATATTTTTATTTGGAATTTGGGAGAAATGTTGTCAGTAGTTTATAGAATGAAACAAAAATGTCAATTTCACTCAAACACATACCTATAAATAGTAAAACCAGAGAAACGTATATTTTTGCAGTGGTCTCTTAATTTTTTCCAGAGCTGTATGTATGTGTATTTATATGTTTGTATGTACAGTATGTATTTATGTGTATCTGTATGTATGTACAGTTGAAGTCGGAAGTTTACATACACCTTAGCCAAATACATTTAAACTCAGTTGTTCACAATTCCTGACATTTAATCCTAGGAAAGATTCCCTGTCTTAGATCAGTTAGGATCACCACTTTATTTTAAGAATGTGAAATGTCAGAATAATACTAGAGAGAATGATTTATTTAAGCTTTTATTTCTTTCATCACATTCCCAGTGGGTCAGAAGTTTACATACACTCAATTAGTATTTGGTAGCATTGCCTTTAAATTGTTTAACTTGGGTCAAACATTTCGGGTAGCCTTCCACAAGCTTCCCAAAATAAGTTGGATGAATTTTGGCCCATTCCTCCTGACAGAGCTGGTGTAACTGAGTCAGGTTTGTAGGCCTCCTTGCTCGCACATGCTTTTTCAGTTCTGCCCACAAATTTTCTATAGGATTAAGGTCAGGGCTTTGTGATGGCCACTCCAATACCTTGACTTTGTTGTCCTTAAGCCATTGTGCCACAACTTTAGAAGTATGCTTGGGGTCATTGTCAATTTGGAAGACCCATTTGCGACCAAGCTTTAACTTCCTGACTGATGTCTTGAGATGTTGCTTCAATATATCCACATAACGATGGTCATTATGGCCAAACAGTTCTATTTTTGTTTCATCAGACCAGAGGACATTTCTCCAAAAAGTACGATCTTTGTCCCCATGTGCAGTTGCAAACCGTAGTCTGGCTTTTTTATGGCGGTTTTGGAGCAGTGGCTTCTTCCTTGCTGAGCGGCCTTTCAGGTTATGTCGATATAGGACTCGTTTTACTGTGGATATAGATACTTTTGTACGTGTTTCCTCCAGCATCTTCACAAGGTCCTTTGCTGTTGTTCTGGAATTGATTTGCACATTTCGCACCAAAGTACGTTCATCTCTAGGAGACAGAATGCGTCTCCTTCCTGAGCGGTATGACGGCTGCGTGGTCCCATGGTGTTTATACTTACATTTACATTTACATTTTAGTCATTTAGCAGACGCTCTTATCCAGAGCGACTTACAGGAGCAATTAGGGTTAAGTGCCTTGCTCAAGGGCACAGTTACGTCATTTAGCAGACGCTCTAATCCAGAGCGACTCACAAATTGGTGCATTCACCCTATAGCCAGTGGGATAACCACTTTACAAATTTTTTTTTGGGGGGGGGGGGGGGGGGGGGGGGGGGGGGGGTAGAAGGATTACTTTATCCTTGCGTACAATTTTTTGTACAGATGAACGTGGTACCTTCAGGCATTTGGAAATTGCTCCCAAGGATGAACTAGACTTGTGGATGTCTACAATTTTTGTTCTGAGGTCTTGGCTGATATCTTTTGATTTTCCCATGATGTCAAGCAAAGAGGCACTGAGTTTGAAGGTAGGCCTTGAAATACATCCACAGGTACACCTCCAATTGACTCAAATGATGTCAATTAGCCTATCAGAAGCTTCTAAAACCATGACATCATTTTCTGGAATTTTCCAAGCTGTTTAAAGGCACAGTCAACTTAGTGTATGTAAACTTCTGACCCACTGGAATTGTGATACAGTGAATTTTAAGTGAAATAATCTGTTTGTAAACAATTGTAATAGAACAGTGTATATGTTCACAGATGCATCTATGGAGCCAGCACTTGGAGACATGCAAGATGATGTGATGGAGTCCTCACTGACAGACAGGCTATGATACTGACGTCTCTGAATGGAGTGAGACCTTCCACTCAGCATAAAAACATTACTAGACTTTCACTTGTATTGTCTTTTTTTATTATTGAATTGAATGGATTCAGTCAATATGGGGAGGGAGAAACCCTGTGTATTTTGCACCAGGATCATTGAACTCCTGTTGTTTATGGGACACCACACAACAAGGTATGACCACGCTGACGTGTTTGCCAAGGTAGCCCCATTACCACCAGACAAAATGCTGATAGGCACGGTATCTGTATCAGCTGGGAATGACAATGAAAGCTGAATGGTGCACATTGTTATAGCAGAACACTAGTTCTATGGTATTATGTAAAGGGAAGTTGTTTCTACATGGACCTGTTACTACATTTGAAAGTTATCAAAACACTTAGTTTAGAATATATACATAAATTCAGCAATTGCATTCTTCTCATATTACTCTGTAGGCTACTGCCCTATTCAAAGCTTCCTCCGGCATCTCACCATACATCTGCCTGTAATTATTGAACTCAACTTGCAGGATGTTTGTTTGTTGTGACTGAGTGAGGGAAAACAGCTGCGGGCAAGGTTCTGACAGCTGGGTGTGTCTTGGTGGTGGCAAGGACACACCCAAGAAATGCCTACATCAAACCACACTTCCAACCCAACTCACGTTTGGCTTCTGTCATGGCTGCCAGCATTTCTTGAGGAGCAAGCCAAAAAATGAAGCCAAATCAGCGGGTGCAATTCCCCTTTAATTACAAACTTGTATGGAGGGGTTGGACATGCCAAGAGATGAATCCTGATTGGTTTGTCATGTCACAGGCTTCTGTCTATAACAGCATGGCGCCTTCCCTGGTCAGTATATAGATTATTTTTGCTACAGCAGATTTTTTTGAAAGATATAGCTATGAACAACTGCAAAAGTGTTGCTACAGCTCTTAAAAACATTTCTGCCCTGAATTTAGTTGGTGCTATTGACAAAGCTCAGTGGGAGAAAGTTTAAGTAAAGAGATTACTTTCTGGAGGACAATGCCATGATGACTCACATGCGTTTACATGTGAATTCTTAAAGAGATGGGTGGGGCTTTAGAGTGTGTGAATGATGCTGAATGGACTTAAACAAAGAAGAGCTCTCTAGCAAGTGTGAAAATATCAGCAAAATCTTTCAAGGGCATTTTCTCCTACTTGTCCCCTAAGTGGGATAACATGTTTATCAACTTTCAAAGCAGCATAACTTTCCCATATTTCCTTCAACTACAGTGTAATGATATACTATAATTTTGAAGCTCTGAATCTGTACTTTTATCAAATGTAAAAAAAGAAAATCACAAAAGTTGGCTTAATCTGAAATCTGAGAAAGGTCACAACAGGTTGAGTATGCAAAGGGAGGGTATATCACTTTATCCCTACCTATATGTACATATCTACCTCAATTACCTCGTACCCCTGCACATTGACTCAGTACTGGTACCCTGTGTATACAGCCAAGTCATCGTTACTCATTGTTTATTTATTCCTTGTGTTATTATATTTCTATTATCTCTGCATTGTAAGTAAGCATTTCATCTGTTGTTTATGAAGCATGTGACAAATACAATTTGAATTGATTAAATGTATTTTATATTACTGGTACATTTCTAAATTTACCAGTAAACTACCAGAATTTTGTAACTTTATTATTTTGTTGTTCAATTTTATCACATGACATCTAATGGCCTTTTTGGGTACTTCAGATTATTCCAGGTGTCTGTAATTATCTCTGGCCCTCCGTGTGGATCACATGTAAAATATATATAACTAATCAAATAAGACGTTTTTTAAAATGAAAAATAGAATTACAAAGCTGTAAAACATTATCCTTAATATAAACCATCAACTTAGTGAATACAATTGGTGTTTAATATGAGGGTTTCAGCATGAAATATATATTTTACACACATATTTATTTTACTATGTCTTTGTTGTGAATGTGTTGGCGCCAAACTGGTGGCAGTTGTGAAAAAAGTAAATAGTTGCAGAGTTAATGGAAAATAATGCCATTGTTGATTAGATGCCTTTTAATTAATAAGGCTATTTTCTCTTGAACCATATGGTCTATCCACTAGAAACTCAAGGACAATATGTACACATATAAAACATTTATACTATATATGAATAATATATATTCAAGTATAAATTACCAAAGTTACCATAGATTGCCATAGATTACCGGTAACGTTAGTACATTAAGTTTTGCAACCCTAAGTGTGCTTGAATGTGAGTATTTGAATATGTATTTAGTGTGTGTGTATCTGTGTGTGTCACCAATGCTGCACTTTGTTTACTGGAACCAAACTTCCAGCTAACATACTTTGAAAGGTTCACTGACATCTGTCAAATCATTTATATGATATCTGTTTACATACCATTTTCTTACAGAGCTCCAAAGCCAGTTAACAAGATTAAACATATTTAGATGTTTCTTTTTCTTCTTATGGTTCTTTTAATATCGAACACACCAAACATAATATTCTATCAAACTATGTAATGATTGGTGTTAAAAATCAAGGAAATTCAAGTCTGTATATTTTTATTTACAGTCTTAAAATGTTTTACTAATAAACCTTGAAAACAGACATCCCCTTTCTATACTTAATGCTTATTACCGATCTCAAGACCTGTAGCCTATTGATTTCTCTCTCTCACCCCAAATAGTGATTATGGCTTTGAGAGGCAGAGTGATGGAGGATGCACCCCTGTCTTCTGGTTTGTTCCATCCTCTGTGTCCAGAGACTGCACCACCGGAGACAGTTTCCTCAACACTACTGGGTATGGTAAATCCATCTCCATTTAAACATGATGTACTACTAAACTAGTCAGAAATGCACTCAAAAGAAGATACAGTATTAGAGAACCCTTCAGCAAAGTTGACAGTCTATTTTCTTGTTTTATTCCTTCAAATGTATTTAAGATAGAGTATGGGCTGTCTAATTATTTATGTCTGTATGTGCGTATGTTGCAGATACCGTAAGGCTCTGTCCAATAACTGCACTGCGGGAACCCTGGGGAAGTATAGCCCTAGGAGCCAAAGGTGTCCCCGCCAGGCCCCCAGAGGTCTGCAGCTGGTCACCAGTGAGGGGACACTTACAGCCACCATGGGGGACAACGTCACCTTCCTGGTGTTTCTGGAGGAGGTAATGGTCTGCCATATTTCTTAGAGATCCTATCAAACTTTTGAAAGCATGTGCTGGGTCGTTCCACCAATTGGGTGCCTTTTGAGCAGTGTAACTTGGTGATAGAAAAATAAACAAATATTCTGTCATAAAGAGCAGATATTCAATGTCGATAAAAACCATGTTTTCCCATTTCAAGAGGTTAATAAAAAAAAAGACAATAGTAAGTGCCTATTAAGTGCCAAGTAAAGTAACAAGGTTGACGATTTCATCTTAAATCAGAAATAAATCCTTTTTGACAGGGGAAATGGAAGCTGGTTGTATGAAACAGGGAGGGGCAATTGAATGCAAGCTTCACCATTTTTAAAAATTGTTAAATCATTTATAGTCTGTCTATCTATGGACACAGACACACATACAGTGGGGAGAACAAGTATTTGATACACTGCCGATTTTGCAGGTTTTCCTACTTACAAAGCATGTAGAGGTCTGTAATTTTTATCATAGGTACACTTCAACTGTGAGAGGCGGAATCTAAAACAAAAATCCAGAAAATCACATTGTATGATTTTTAAGTAATTAATTTGCATTTTATTGCATGACATAAGTATTTGATCACCTACCAACCAGTAAGAATTCCGGCTCTCACAGACCTGTTCGTTTTTTTTTTAAGAAGCACTCCTGTTCTCCACTCATTACCTGTATTAACTGCACCTGTTTGAACTCGTTACCTGTATAAAAGACACCTGTCCACACACTCAATCAAACAGACTCCAACCTCTCCACAATGGCCAAGACCAGAGAGCTGTGTAAGGACATCAGGGATAAAATTGTAGACCTGCACAAGGCTGGGATGGGCTACAGGACAATAGGCAAGCAGCTTGGTGAGAAGGCAACAACTGTTGGCGCAATTATTAGAAAATGGAAGAAGTTCAAGATGACGGTCAATCATCCTCGGTCTGGGGCTCCATGCAAGGTCTCACCTCATGGGTCATCAATGATCATGAGGAAGGTGAGGGATCAGCCCAGAACTACACGGCAGGACCTGGTCAATGACCTGAAGAGAGCTGGGACCACAGTCTCAAAGAAAACCATTAGTAACACACTACGCCGTCATGGATTAAAATCCTGCAGCGCATGCAAGGTCCCCCTGCTCAAGCCAGCGCATGTCCAGGCCCGTCTGAAGTTTGCCAATGACCATCTGGATGATCCAGAGGAGGAATGGGAGAAGGTCATGTGGTCTGATGAGACAAAAATAGAGCTTTTTGGTCTAAACTCCACTCGCCGTGTTTGGAGGAAGAAGAAGGAGGAGTACATCCCCAAGAACACCATCCCAACCGTGAAGCATGGAGGTGGAAACATCATTCTTTGGAGATGCTTTTCTGCAAACGGGACAGGACGACTGCACCGTATTGAGGGGAGGATGGATGGGGCCATGTATCGCGAGATCTTGGCCAACAACCTCCTTCCCTCAGTAAGAGCATTGAAGATGGGTCGTGGCTGGGTCTTCCAGCATGACAACGACCCGAAACACACAGCCAGGGCAACTAAGGAGTGGCTCCGTAAGAAGCATCTCAAGGTCCTGGAGTGGCCTAGCCAGTCTCCAGACCTGAACCCAATAGAAAATCTTTGGAGGGAGCTGAAAGTCCGTATTGCCCAGCGACAGCCCCGAAACCTGAAGGATCTGGAGAAGGTCTGTATGGAGGAGTGGGCCAAAATCCCTGCTGCAGTGTGTGCAACCTGGTCAAGACCTACAGGAAACGTATGATCTCTGTAATTGCAAACAAAGGTTTATGTACCAAATATTAAGTTCTGCTTTTCTGATGTATCAAATACTTATGTCATGCAATAAAATTCAAATTAATTACTTAAAAATCATACAATGTTATTTTCTGGATTTTTGTTTTAGATTCCGTCTCTCACAGTTGAAGTGTACCTATGATAAAAACTACAGACCTCTACATGCTTTGTAAGTAGGAAAACCTGCAAAATCGGCAGTGTATCAAATACTTGTTCTCCCCACTGTACATATGATATGACACGCACTCTAAATTTTTTTACATTTTAGTCATTTAGCAGACGCTCTTATCCAGAGCGACTTACAGTTAGTGAGTGCATACATTATTTTTTATACCCCCCGTGGGAATCGAACTCACAACCCTGGCGTTGCAAACGCCATGCTCTACCAACTGAACTACATCCCTGCCAGCCATTCCCTAACCTGGACCCATTGTGCGCCGCCCCATGGGTCTCCCAGTCGCAGCCGGCTATGACAGAGCCTGAATTCGAACCAGGATCTCTAGTGGCACAGCTAGCACTGCCGCAGTGCCTTAGACAACTGCGCCACTTGGGAGCCACTCTACACACACACGTAGACATGGATTTTGTATTGTAGATACAGTATGTGATAGTAGAGTAGTGGCCTGAGGGAACACAATGTTTTGTGAAAAGTGTTATGAAATGTAATATCATGTAATATTTATTTTGGTATATAAATGCCTTAATCTTCCTGGAACCCAGGAAGAGTAGCTGCCGCCTTGGCTCGACCTGCTCAGTTTTCCACCACAAAACATGAGAAAATGGCCAAAAAGAGTAGAACCAGCTCACCTGCTTGACACTAGGGTTTGACTATAAGATGTTCCATCTTTCTTTTGAAAACAATATTTAAAAAAGGAATAGTTTCACCATATTAAAACGAGAGTTCAGTTCACATAACAGGGTTGACCTTAAAAGTATGGACAGTTTTCTTTTTTTTTTACCTTAAAAGGAATCACCAATCGCATTAAATAAATAATAATCGGCAGAAATGACTTTATCAAAGCAACATATTAACTAGGGATTTACAATAATGGTGAAAACTTTGAGAAATGTTGGGGTTAAATGGGTTAAAATCTTCCTAGAAGTCACAGAGGGAGCACAGAGGGACATGTCAAAATGCTGAATTTTTGCTCTTTAGCAAGTCTTTATTCATATAAAAGATTGGATTTATTAAATGTTCCATGTGGTCTATATTAAAGGGCACTTCATTTGATATAACAGGCTTTTAAAATTCAATATTTGTACTTAAAATATCAAAGGGATGCAAAAGGCACTCATTTTGTGGAACAACCCTGCTATGAATGGGCATATCTAGATGTTATGTATTTGCCTCCCTATAGTATATATTTACGTATACATTGGTTTACTCTCAATCGTCAACCAATGGATTGAGATGAGCTGCTGTGCATCATGTTGTACATTTTGTTGATTCATAGACCTGCTCTAAGAGCCTTGATGGTTGTTGTCAAACACTTGTAGCCATTGTCATATAACAGTTGTCAAATATAACAATGTATTTCTACATGCAGAATATGCGTAGGATATATAAATACATATATAGAGTGGATTTAAATTATGTTAAACATGCACACTGTGGCCATTTTGATCTAATCGGAAACATGTTTCCATTGGTAGGGTGATGGCTCCATAACAAGTATAACAGTGGACTTTGGAGATGGGATGGCCATATCCTACGCTAACATCAGCTCCATAGAGGATGGAGTCAAACATATCTACAGTAAAGTGGGCATTTACCAAGTGGCTGCCACAGCACTCAACAGCCTGGGCTCTGAGAGAGTCTTACTATACCTACATGTTACCTGTAAGTGAAACAGCAATGGATGACTGATATCATTATTTTACTATAGAGTTACAGGTGCTCTTTGCAACATTTCTACCCATAAAAAAATCAGTCAATGATGTATCTGCAGTAGGAAAGGAATACACTTCCATGAAAGGAAACAGTTCTATTTTATTTTATTGTAGGTCTACTTGAGCAAGTGCAGCTTTCAGCTCCCTCAGTGGTTGTTAGGAATGAAGCAGTGAATCTAACAACAGTCCTAAAGCCAAGTTACGTTGGAACAGTCACCTACTACTGGTGGTTCAACAACCACACTGAGGTCAGTGAAGACTTCCACAATATCTTAAAACTTTACAGATTTACAGAACTTTACTTACCTAATTTACCATATTAATTGCAATATTGTGTATTATATGGACAAACCCACCTTTAGTTTGTGACACTCTCTCTCTCTCTCTCTCTCTCTCTCTCTCTCTCTCTCTCTCTCTCTCTCTCTCTCTCTCTCTCTCTCTCTCTAACTCTAACTCTAACTCTATCTCTATCACTCTGTCTTTTGTATGTGTGTTAGCCTGTCATGACTTTAGTGCGAGGAATGTCCTTCACCTTCTCCAAGGAGGGAACCCATACTGTCACTGTGCAAGTGTCAGTTGGCAACACCTTCCTTCAAGACAAAATAACTGTTGCAGTCTATGGTAAGGTCTTTGAAAGGACTCATCTCTACATTACAGAGGTGTTATATGTTTCTAACATGCAGGTGGTAAATGTTCTCTTATATAAAATATTGACTGTGATGCGACCAATAAAATGTGATTTGATAATTTAGATGTTGAACGTTTAATCATTTATAATCTCTTATGATCTATTAACAGTTTCTCTCTTATTATCTATTATCTATCACCATTAAATATGTATCTTGTATTTTCCTGTAGAATATTTCCGGTCACACGTTTTAGCCTTCTCCTCTAATCTGGAGGCCTTCAATCCTGGTGTGGCTGAATGGAGGCAGGACATCAGTAGAGTGGTCAAGGACTCCATGGTCCAAGTGAGTTCTCCTGTACAGTACTACTACATCATTTTTTACCAGTAAATTACTGGGATTACAGTAACTCATTGGTGCACTCTGGTTATTATTTCAAGTAATTCTAACAGCATTTCAAACAACTTGGTAGTAAATGGTATGTCATGATGCTTCCCTCACTGAATTCAATGAAGTAAAGGTATTTGCTAGCAATCATTACTAGCAGTATACAATTTCTAAGTGCCACAAATCAGGTTATGTCCCTACAAGTATTTGGCCTAATGTAAATAGCAGGTAGAGTGTACCATATAAGGTAAAGTGTTTCCAGTCTCCTTCATTGTCTCTCTCAGGATGTCAAGAAGCGCATTGGGTTACATAAAAGGCCTGGCTGCTGAGCTATACATACACCCCACACTGGCTTTCTGTCTTGTCAGCTATGACCATGTTTTATACCAGGAAAGTGACAGGGTTGTTACAGCACAAATACACTTAAAAAGGGCTGCCCTTTACTAAAGACTGTCAAAATGAGCTGATTTGTGCATTATATCTAGCCAGTGACTGGTACTTAGTCAAATGACATCTGAAGCAAAGAAGCGGGTGCATTTAGCCTTTTCCATAGCTAAGTACAGTGCAGCGCTATATGACAAAACCTAATGAAAATATAGGAGAAACTGAGATGCCAGATACATTTGTTATATTTCATTACTTTTTAATTGAAGGTCACAGGGATCAGTGGAGAGCAGCTTCTAGTGTCAGTGCTCCCAGGGTTGCCAACGGCAGCAGAGTTTTGCATCGTCCCTGAGAAAAGGTCAACAGAGGGGAGAATGGATGGAAAAGTGACACATTTAGAGCAGGTAATGTATCACCAGACTACAAAGTCTTTAATTACTTTTTATTATTATTATGGTTCTACCCATTTACTTCCATTTACATAGATCCATTACTTGAATCATGCTGTAGTTAGGCCTATCTCAATGTTAAATTAAGCAAGTAATAACAGCATCACTAAATAGCAGCATAATGTGAAAACACATTTCCCCTTGATTATATTCTTCATATCATGGTGGGTTCATCATTTGCTCATAATTCGTTTTTCTCCCTTCGCTGCTGTAATCATACATGCATATGGAGTCTACTGATCCTTTGTTAGATATACAAGCGCAACAAAATGGCATTTCATTACACATTTATACCACTAGAGGGCAATGTCTTCCCATCAAAATAATAGAACCTCGCGCTTGAAAACCTGCATTCATCTCAATACAGCATTGCAACCTATACTGTAGCATCAAAATGTATTTCACATAACTCAATTCTAACCACTAAGACATACTATACTTACCATTTATTCCATCATGAAGGGTTTGCTTTTAATAGAATCACTTTGAATAGAATGACTAAGATGTTGGACTTGCGCTCTAATGGTTTTTCAGCTCTATAATTCTTGACATTCTATAGAGTTGATAAAACACACCACGTTTTCATCTGCCTTTCAGCATCTCAATCGAATAGTAACATTTTTATCCATTTCAGTCCACCATCAGACACTGATCTGTTACAATCCTGGATCCACTTATTTGCATATTGCTTATTTGCATATGTTGCAACATGTAAACATAATTCAAGTAAACATAATTCCAGTGGCTCGCAGTTAGTCTTGAACTGAGTTAATAGGTATTTAATTACAATGATGCATCATGTAATTGGACACATCTAGAGAGGAGACTAGTGGCTGGGCAGCCTGAGTTGGGAATTTTGTGGATGTATTTATCTATAGCCTGTCTGAATACCTCACAGACAATGGGGTAATATATCTTAGTTCACTGTTGCACATCTTCTTGTGTCGTGTGTGTGTGGTATGGTGTGTGCGCACATTGGGTTTGTGTGTGTGTGTGTGTTGGGGGGGGGGTTGTCTGGTACAGCTTATTAAAAGGTGCAATAGATTTACTGACCCTGATATGCCACTATAATAAAAAGTAATTATTCATACAGTGTACAGCTAATTTTAACCAGTAGAATGATTTTAGAAAGAGCGAGATGGCATCAGTGAGCCATGGGCTAAGGAGTCAAATTGGCTTTGGGAAGGCTTTCTGGTCTCTTGTTAAATGGTTTCTGATCTTCTGTTAAATTACTGCTTTATCTAGGTGTGAACCCTTAATGAAAAAAAATTAACTGGCTTCTGGCAAACAGTTGTGGCAAATCTTTGGCCAATTATTTGAACATTTTCCACAAGCTCATATTTTCATATGCCGAAAATGTGCGGCAAGCTCATATTTTCACAAAATTTGTTTTTGGGCAAACTGTTGCGGCAAATTTGTTTATTAACTACATTGAGATGTATCTACATAAATCAAATCACAAATAACTTAAAATGAACTTTCTTCTCACAGAGAAAACTTAACATACTAAATGTACTAAAAATACAGTGCATTCAGAAAGTATTCACACCCCTTGACTTTTTCCACATTTAAAATATATTTAATTGAGATGTTTGTCACTGGTCTAGACACAATACCCCATAATGTCAAAGTGGAGTTATGTTTTTAGAAATTTTTAGAAATTAATTAAAAATAAAAAGCTGAAATGTCTTGAGTCAATAAGTATTCAACCCCTTTGTTATTGCAAGCCTAAATACGTTCAGAGGTACAGATTTGCTTAATGAGTCAAATAAAACGTTGCATGGGCTCACTCTGTGTGCAATAATAGTGTTCAACATGATTTTTGAATGACTACCTCATCTCTGTACTCCACACATACAATTATCTGCAAGGTCCCTCAGTCGAGGTGTTTTCAAACACAGATTCAACTACAAAGACCAGGGAGGTATATCCCTTTGAATATCCCTTTGAATATGGCTATTAAGTACACTTTGGATTGTGTCTCAATACACCCTGTCACTAGAAAGATACAGGCATCCTTCCTAACTCAGTTGCCAGAGAGGAAGGAAACCGCTCTGGAGGCCAATGGTGACTTTAGAACAGTTACAGAGTTTAATGGCTGTGATAGGGGAAAATAGAGCATGGATCAACAACATTGTAGTTACTCCACAATACTAACCTAATTGGCAGAGTGAAAAGAAGGAAACCTGTACAGAATAAAAATATTCCAAAACATGCATCCTGTTTGCAATAAACTGATACTGCAAAAAATGTGGCAAAGCTGAATATAAAGTGTTATGTTTGGGGCAAATCCAATCCAACACATTAATGAGTAAAACTCTCCATATTTTCAAACATAGTGCTTGTAATCTTTAAGGTCTGGTGAGTTTATCAGGATAAAAAACAAAACAGAATGGAGGTAAGCACAGGCAAAATTCTAGAGGAAAACCTGGCTCAGTCTGCTTTTACACCAGACACTGGGAGATGAATTCACCTTTCAGCATGACAATAACCTAAAACACAAGGCCAAATCTACACTGGAGTTGCTTACCAAGAAGACAGTGAATGTTCCTGAGTGGCCGAGTTACAGTTTGGACTTAAATCTGCTTAAAATCTATGGCAAGACTTCAAAATGATTGTCTAGCAATGATCAACAACCAATTTGACAGTTGAAGAATTCTAGGTGTGAATTTCAGGTGTGCGATGCTGTAATCGCTGCCAAAGGTGATTCTAACATGTATTGACTCAGGGGTGTGAATACTTACGTTAATGAGATATTTCTGTATTTCATTTTCAATAAATTACCAAAAATTCCTAAAAACATGATTTCACTTTGTCATTATGGGGTATTGTGTGTAAAACATTTTCTGTAAGTCTTCACAAGGTTTTCACACACTGTTGCTGGTATTTTGGCCCATTCCTCCATGCAGATCTCCTCTAGAGCAGTGATGTTTTGGGGCTGTCGCTGGGCAACACAGACTTTCAACTCCCTCCAAAGATTTTCTATGGGGTTGAGATCTGGAGACTGGCTAGGCCACTCCAGGACCTTGAAATGCTTTTGACGAAGCCACTCCTTCGTTGCCCGGGCGGTGTGTTTGGGATCATTGTCATGCTGAAAGACCCAGCCACGTTTAATCTTCAATGCCCTTGCTGATGGAAGGAGGTTTTCACTCAAAATCTCACGATACATGGCCCCATTCATTATTTCCTTTACACGGATCAGTCGTCCTGGTCCCTTTGCAGAAAAACAGCCCCAAAGCATGATGTTTCCACCCCCATGCTTCACAGTAGGTATGGTGTTCATTGGATGCAACTCAACATTCTTTGTCCTCCAAACACGACGAGTTGAGTTTTTACCAAAAAGTTATATTTTGGTTTCATCTGACCATATGACATTCTCCCAATCCTCTTCTGGATCATCCAAATGCACTCTAGCAAACTTCAGACGGGCCTGGACATGTACTGGCTTAAGCAGGGGGACACGTCTGGCACTGCAGGATTTGAGTCCCTGGCGGCGTAGTGTGTTACTGATGGTAGGCTTTGTTACTTTGGTCCCAACTCTCTGTAGGTCATTCACTAGGTCCCCCCGTGTGGTTCTGGGATTTTTGCTCACCGTTCTTGTGATCATTTTGACCCCACGGGGTGAGATCTTGCGTGGAGCCCCAGATCGAGGGAGATTATCAGTGGTATTGTATGTCTTCCATTTCCTAATAATTGCTCCCACAGTTGATTTCTTCAAACCAAGCTGCTTACCTATTGCAGATTCAGTCTTCCCAGCCTGGTGCAGGTCTACAATTTTGTTTGGAGTGTGACTGTTTGAGGTTGTGGACAGGTGTATTTTATACTGATAACAAGTTCAAACAGGTGCCATTAATACAGGTATCGAGTGGAGGACAGAGGAGCCTCTTAAAGAAGAAGATACAGGTCTGTGAGAGCCAGAAATCTTGCTTGTTTGTAGGTGACCAAATACTTATTTTCCACCATAATTTGCAAATAAATTCATAAAAAATCCTACAATGTGATTTTCTGGAAAAAAAATGCTCTATTTGTCTGTCGTAGTTGACGTGTACCTATGATGAAAATTACAGGCCTCTCTCATCTTTTTAAGTGGGAGAACTTGCACAATTGGTGGCTGACTAAATACTTTTTTCCCCACTGTATAAGCGATATAAGAAAGATCAGGAAAAATGTGTAAAATAAATTGACCCTGAACAGTCTTCATATACAGTATACTTCAATTCATTTTTTCAACTGGTACCGGGGGACCTTCAGATGAGTCTTGTGAGGCCTGAGGGCGTCCTAGAGCAGAACAACTGACATGTACATGTCTGTGAGAGTCTCACCTTTCCACAGAGGGATCATATCAGTGTGTAGCCCTAAACTGTTCAGACACTACACTAAAAAAAGATATCTCTATCTTAAACGGACAGATTTCATGTGAATATTTGTATTATGCTAATTAGATTTTTGCGGGGGCACGGACATCGACTCTAGGGGTTATTAAGAGCAGTGGTCTACAAGTTCTTTCTTCTTCCTGACTCAGGTGTATAAGGCTTGGGTGGAAGAAAAGCAACATAACATTTAGTTATGCTGACTTCCTAGATGGCAAGCGACGGAATGGCCATGTATAAAACAATCTCGTGGTCGGTTGTAAATAATTCACCTCCAAATTCATCTTTTCAAAATTCGAATATATAAAGCTTCAGTATAAATGAGTGGGGGAGTTAGAACGAGAAGTCAGAATAAGTGAAAACACGAGTTAAAGAGTCAGATAAAGCAGAAATGGATGAAGATATACACAGCCCTCAACAAGCTAGCCATGATGGCAACGACGAAAGTGAGATGGTGAGGAACCCGGCAATAAGTATTAGCAGATAAATCTGCAAACTTAGAACCGGAATGAGAGGGAACAAAGTTAAGAAGGAAATAACAAAGGAGTTAGAGGAATTCAAACACAAAGTTACAGCGAGGCTTCAGGAAACTAAAGGGAAACTAAAGGGGCAGAGACACGGATAGAACAGCTGGAAGGACAAAACATGGAAATTGGCAAATCTCTACTCCTTACATTTAAACAACAACAACGAATACAGGAGCAGCTGACGGACCTTGAGGGAAGGTCCAGGCACAACAATATCCATATTTATGACATTGCTGAGGAGGCAGAGGGAAAAGATATGCCCCAATTCATAGAAGGTCTACTCAAAAACGAACTTTCTCTGCCGACAGACACAGATCTTCAGATCCAGAGAGCACACAGAGCAAGGGACAGATTGCAGGAATTCAAACGGAGACCTAATTCTAAGGATACATATGTGATTTGTAATAACAGGTATGGGGAATTTCCTAGGGCTGAAATATGAGGTAGGTGGATAACACCTATAGATGGCGGTTTAGCTAGCTAGGGTAGATGGATAGCAACTATGGTTGGCTGGTTAGGTAGCATATTGCTGGGCCAGGTTGACCGAGCAATTTATAGTTAGCCAAATAGCCTGTAACCTCAGCTCAGCTAATTTGTTTTGTGGCTAAAACTGTCATTGTTTATAGGCTATAACCCAGCCTTGGATAGGGTCACTCGAGGATTAAGGCCAATCGGTTAACATACTGACGTAACATTATTTCCAGAAAATTATCGCTCAAAAGGCAGACTGTAAGGCCGACTGTTTACAACAATGT